CTGTGTTTTCATTACTATTTTCGTTACCGTGTTTTCGATACTGTGTTTTTGATACTGACTTTTTGATTTCGATACTGTTTTCGATACTGTGTTTTCGATACTGTGTTTTCAGTACTGTGTTTTCGATATCGTGTTTTCGATATCGTGTTTTCAGTACTGTGTTTTCGATATCGTGTTTTCTGTACTGTGTTTTCGATACAGTGTGTTTTCTCGATACTTTGTTTTAGATACCGTGTTTTTTCAGTACTGTTTTCAGTATTGTATGTTTTCGATACTGTGTTTTCGATACGGTGTGTTTTCGATACTGTGTTTTTTCGATACTGTGAGTTTTCGATACTGTGTATTTTCGATACCATGTTTTTTCGATACTGTGTGTTTTCAATACCGTGTTTTTTTTCGATACATGTTTTCGATACGTGTTTTGGAGACGCTGTGAACGCTGACGTCCCTGGACTCCATTTTGAGTGTTTTTGTTCGTTCAGTATTTTATGGCGTCCACATTCGTCTGCTGCTCAGAGACACCGCTACAAGTACAAGTACCTCAAGTACACAGAGTACACAGAAAGTACTGCGTTTAAGAGTACTGCAAACACGTCTGACGCACTCACGCCGTTTATGAACTTTTATTATTTTCCATCACATCTGTACGACCAAAAAATGTTTTTACACGAGATCAAACACGACTGAACCAGGACTAAACCAGGACTAAAACAGGACTAAACCAGGACTAAACCAGGTCTAAACCAGGACTAAAACAGGACTAAACCAGGACTAAACCAGGTCTAAACCAGGACTAAAACAGGACTAAACCAGGACTAAAACAGGACTAAAACAGGACTAAACCAGGACTAAACAGGACTAAACCAGGGACTAAACCAGGACTAAACCAGGACTAAACCAGGACTAAACCAGAACTAAACCAGGACTAAACCAGGACTAAACCAGGACTAAACCAGGACTAAACAATGGACCATATCTTCTTGTTTTCTATCAATAATATTTTTAATTTGGTTCAGTAAAGTTTGGGCTTTTTATTTTCTTTTATCAGACAAAACTTCTTTGTGAAGATTTCCTCGTCTTTGTTTCTCTACAGTAAATCAAATAACCCAAAGTAATCAGATTACATTACTCACTTTAAGTAATTTAATGGATTACGTTACAAACTACATTTTGGTGTATATAATCTGTAATCTGCAATCTGTAGGGGATTACATTTTAAAAATAAACTTCCCAACACTGTATATGTATAATAATTCAATTAAAAAATAAAACAAAAACCAAAAACAAACTAATAATAATAATAAGAAGTGCCTGTGTTTGTCTCTTCTGTATAATCTGCTCCACGGACTGACGACGGCACAAGCCCCGCCCCCTTTGAACAATGAACTTTAACCTTTTTATGGACAATGAACTATTTCCCCAGTTGGAGACTGAACTTATCTTTATGTCGTCAAGATATGTTTACTTAACTACACATGAACTCAGATAAACCCCGCAATATGAAATGTGTTCTATGTGCCTGTTTAGTATTATTATGATTCTATTTTTATTTTTTATTATTCTCTACTTCACTCTGTCAGTGGCATTAGAGGTTATCTATTTTTTGTTATTGCCCAACTTGTGTCTTGTGTATCTGACGTTACTTATTCATAAAAAAATGAATAAATAAAAAAAAAAAAATTTAAATAAAAAAAAAAAGTGTCAGTTCTCGCGGTGTCTCTCTTTTTTTTATTTATTTATTTATTTTATTTTTATTTTTTTTAGTTCTCATGGTGTTTGTGTCAGTTCTCGTGGTATCTTTTTATAAAATGTTTTTTTAATTTATTTAATTAATTAATTTAATTTATTTATTTTAGTTCTCGCTGTGTTTGTATCAGTTTTCGCGGTGTCTTTTATTTAAAAAAAATTAACATTTTATTTATTTATCATTATATTTATTTATTTTATTTATTTATATATATATGTTGGGGTTTTTTTCTCGCGGTGTTTGTGTCAGTTCTCGTCAGTGTTTGTGTCAGTTCTCATGGTGTTTTTTTTTTTTTTTATGTATTTATTTTTTATTTTATTTATTTTATTTATTTATTTATTTTTAGTTCTCGCGGTGATGTGTCAGTTCTCGCGGTGTCTTCTTTTTTTTTTTTTTCTTTTTACTTATTTATTTTATTTATTTATTTATTTTATTTTTTTAAATCATTTTTTAGTTCTCGCAGTGTTGTGTCAGTTCTCGTGGTGTTTCTTTTTTTTTTTTTTCTTTTTACTTATTTATTGTATTTATTGTATTTATTTCTTTCTTTTATTTTTTATCATTTTTTAGTTCTCGCGGTGTTTGTGTCAGTTTCGGTGTCTTCTTTTTTTTTTTTACTTATTTATTTATTTATTATTTATTTTTATTTTTTATCATTTTTTTAGTTCTCGCGGTGTTGTGTCAGTTCTCGCGGTGTCTTCTTTTTAAATTTTTTTTTATTTATTTTTACTTATTTAATTAATTAATTAATTTTATTGTTTAGTTCTCGCGGTGTTTGTGTCAGTTCTCGCGGCGTTTGTGTCAGTTCTCAGTTCTCGCGGTGTTTGGTCAGTTCTCAGTTCTCGCGGTGTCTGTGTCAGTTCTCAGTTCTCGCGGTGTTTGTGTCAGTTCTCGCGGTGTTTGTGTCAGTTCTCGCGGTGTTTGGTGTCGGGGTGCGGGGTTAAACGTGGCTCTGGCGCAGCTCCGTCACTTTCCGCGCAGAAGGAGCCGCGTGCGGAGGAGCCGCGCCGAACCACCGCAGACATGGTGAGAAACCTGCGGGGACACGGGCTCGAAACCTGCGGGGACACGGACTTTGCGGTGTTTTAGTCCACGCGGTCCGTCCTGTTTTTAAGTTTCTCGGGGGTTTTGACGCGTAAATGCGCAGAAAAGTGACGAAACCACCGCGGACATGATGGAGAAAACCGTGCGGGGGAAAGTGCGGGACACGGGCTTTGCGGTGCTCGGTCCTTGTCGTCTTGTCCTGGTTTACTTCGGTTTGTTTTTAGACGCGTAAATGTTTCGGGAGGAGTGCGGCCTGCAGCGGGGTTAGCGGCTAATGTTGCTAACGTGTTTACTCGGCTCGTTTTAACAGTGATATAAAGTGTCCGTGTCCTGAGACGCGGGTGTAAACTCCGGCGCGGGTCTTACCGTGATGTCCGGAGGATGTGCGGTGAGTTAAACCCGCTCTTCTTAAAGTTTTGTAGTTTTTTCTGTCTCCGGGTTAGCTTTAGCCGGATGCTAACGCACGCAGGTCACGCAGGGCCCAGGGCGGCACGTGGGTCCGCCGCAGGGGCACGTGGGACTTCTCTGGAGTTGTAAATAATTTACTTTTTTTTTTAAATTTTACACCAGAAATGTTAAAGATAAATCCACGCGCGTGTCTTCAGCTGTTGCGTGTTTAATTTAATTTTTATTTTTTTTAAGTTTGTCTGAGCAACGCCGTGCGCGAGAGGAACACGTGTTTACGCAGCTCCACGTGCTGCTTCCCTTAACTTTAACTGTGAATATAGACTTTTCCACTAAGTTTGCGAGGCCCGTCCCTCCACTATGACTCCGTTTGATTAAAAACACACGTCAGTATTGCAGTGTCAGGAAATCTTTACTCGTTCTGAAGGTGAATAATTATAATTTACTAAATTCTAAATGTAACCACCAGGAGCTGCAGCAGCGCTTAACGTAGGCGGAGCTGCGCGTGTGCGTAAATGTCTAAGTTTCAATTCACACCAGAGACGCTCCTGCTGCAGCCTGCACATCTTCTCACTGTTTTCAGACATCATATTTTGTACTTGCTTTTTATCATTTATTTTATGTCAAAGTGTATTATGAATTAAGTGAACAACTGCAACGCTTTCGCGTTTAATGAGGTTTAAATCTATAAGCACGCACATTAAACACCTCCGCTTTTTTTTTTTTCTTCCCTTTTAATAAGATAAAATCACGTATAATTAATATTATGAGAATGATTAAAATCTTATGTCCGTCCAGGTAATAAGGCCGATACGTTTATGTTGATACAGAGTCCTGCACCGATGGATAAGGGAAAATAGTCACTGAAACGGGCGAGTTTTAATGTGCTGGAATTTTAAGGGCGGGTCAGGTCTAAACCAGGTCTAATCTTAGAGAGAGAGAACCCTGAGCCTGGTGGAGCAGGTGTCTGAAAAGCACAACGGCTGCATGTACCTCTTCTCTAATCTCTGCACCGGTCCTTTCGCCCGCAGACACTCGGGGCGACACGGAAGGACCTCCGAGCACATTTCGACAGTGAGTCCTGGTTCAGTCCTGGTGGTTAGTCCTTGTAGAACTGGTGTCTGACATCGTAAATCATGAGCGCGTTGTTTACATCGTTGTCTTGACTTTGGTTAAATTATTTTGAAAGGGTATCAGAAGTTTATTTTGACACCGCGTGTTTATTTCCTGCCTTTCCCTGCTAAAAACCTTGGAGACGCGCCGCAAAATTAGAAGTCCAACCTCTGGAGCAGCGTCAGACGCTCGTTGGACGCGCGTATGACACTGTCGGTGTTACACCGTCAGACCGGTTCAAATGGAGTTCTAAAGCAGCGCGTCTGCTGCTCATGTGCTGCTGCGCTTACGCGCCGTTGCGCTTTGGTGTGAATTGGGGGTAACAGTAAGTGCGTTAATGAGGCTATGAGACAAAACATTTACAATGACTTTAGTAGAACTTGTGTTAAGGACATGCCCAAGAGTATTTTTTTTATTTTTCTACTAAATTTAATTCCAGCTCCAGTTTTGTTTGTTCCGAGGAAGGAAACTCGTTTGACATTTTCACTGTTTTGACGATTAAAATATTTCTTTCATATGAACTTTTACTTTTATTATCACAACCACAATTTATCTTTTATTTTTTATTGAATGTTTTGAGTCATATCGAATTGAAAGTGCGCTGTATCGAGGTATGTATTGTATCGGCAACTTCTTAACGATGCTTGGCAGAATTTATGACGAACATGAGTTAGTATGATCATTTTCTTTGTGTTTTGGTCGTTTTTAATCAGATTTTTATGCTCCTCTTTACTGTTGGCAGTGAAAATTGTGATTGTCCCATTGTTGTCCTGGGTTAGTCCTAGTTTAGTCTTGGTTTAGTTCAGTTTGGTCCAAAAAACTGGGACAAATCGGTGGTTTTGTCTAAATCACAGGGACACAGGCTCAAAACTGGGACGTCTGGTGACTCTTTGCGTGATTTACTTTTTATTCTTGAAGTACATTTTTAAATTGACACTTTATATTTTTTCAAGTGGTTCTTTTATTGTAGTAGTTCTGTGCTCTGGTATCTGTACTTCAGTAACAAAATCCTGTCAGAATCTTAAATCACTGACGTCTGGTGATTTCAGAAATGTCCCAGGTGTCCCCGTTTTTGACCATTCTGATCCTTGTCAACAGTAAAGGGAGACAAACTGTCAAAATACAGAAAAAAATCTGCTTAAAAACGACCAAAACACAAAGTAAATGTGACTCAACGGTGATGTACAGTCTTGTTAAGGAAGTAAAAGTACACACACCAGAGCACGGAACTGTTCAAATAAGTGTCCCATGAAAAAAATCTACTTAAAATATGCGTGATTTACTTTTACTTTTTACTCTCGAGTACATTTTTTGAGATCCATGAAAGCTTCAGATGTAGTGAGACTGAAAATATACTTTAAACACAGACAGCGCGTGGGAAAATAAAAAACATGGGTCAGTAAATCGTATATTCTTATTCTGAACTGTTGACGAAAAAGCGTCTCCTGTTTGGCAGATTTTCGGGCGTTCACAGGTCAGTTTGTCCTGCAGGGGGCGCAGTTGTGGTGATGTTTACATAATCTGTCAATCCACTGAAACGAAGTGATGACACCCTGATGTTCTGAACAACTGCAAATACAGAGTCTGCGTGCGTCTGCGTGCGTCTGCGTGCGTCTGCGTGCGTCTGCGTGCGTCTGCGTGCGTCTGCGTGCGTCTGCGTGCGTCTGCGTGCGTCTGCGTGCGTCTGCGTGCGTCTGCGTGCGTCTGCGTGCGTCTGCGTGCGTCTGCGTGCGTCTGCGTGCGTCTGCGTGCTGCTCTGACTCTGGATCGTTCTGTGACTTTTTAAAATCACAATATTGATCCAAAACCACTTTATAAAAAATAAAACAATTGAATGCTGGTGTAGTATAATATTTTGACCCCGGTGTCAGAATCCTATTAAGGTTTGTTGACCCCCCATGAAAATCTATATTTTATTAATAAACAACTTGAATTCTATGGAAAAACTTTTAAATATGTCAGTATGTTTTCATTTGCAGATAGAGTATTAATATTCAAAGTGTGTTTTGAAGAACTCTGATGCGCATGTCAAACACGTATTACTGAAAACGAGATGAGTAAATACGTCTTTATTTCTGTAGCGCTTTTCAGACAAATACTGCTACAAAAATACTACAAATACGGCTACAAAAATACTACAAATACGGCTACAAAAATACTACAAATACGGCTACAAAAATACTACAAATACGGCTACAAAAATACTACAAATACGGCTGCAAAAATACTACAAATACGGCTACAAAAATACTACAAATACGGCTACAAAATATACAAATACGGCTACAAAAATACTACAAATACTGCTACAAAAATACTACAAATACGGCTACAAAAATACTACAAATACGGCTACAAAAATACTACAAATACGGCTGCAAAAATACTACAAATGCGGCTGCAAAAATACTACAAATGCGGCTGCAAAAATACTACAACTAGTACTGCAAGTGGTTTTAGATGAATATTGTGATTTAAAATGTCACACTGAAGTCAAACGTTCTAAAAGTCGTGTGATGTAGAAGTTTAATCTCACACCTGTCTGTTTTACCTGTCATGGTAGAATGCACCTGTCTCACCTGTCATGCACCTGTCCGTGGGTGTGTTTTTCAGGTGTTGCTTCACGTGCTGTTCGAGCATGCCGCCGGCTACGCTCTGTTTGCCGTCAAAGAAGTGGAGGAGATCGGGATGCTGCTGCCTCAGGTGAGTCTGGGCTCGGTTTAACCCGGATGCCCTGCCAGAGACTTTCACCCACAGGAAGGAAGGAAGGACGAGTGACAGGAAATGTTCTAGTTTTCCTTCTCTGGGGTGTGTCACTAGAGAACAGATTATTGGGAGGATGGGAGGGCATCTGACACACAGGGGTTGGTGTGACCGTTGCTCTGTGGCGCCCCCAGGTGGAGGACAGCGTGCTGAGTCTGGCCAAGTTTAACAGCATCGTGAGTCTGGCAGCGTTCTTCCCCTTTAAATCTGCTCAGGCGGCTCTGGAAAACATGAACGCCATCTCCGAAGGTAAGTGCACCTGCCCCGCACCTGCCCCGCACCTGCCCCGCACCTGCCCGCACCTGCCCCGCACCTGCCCCGCACCTGCCCCGCACCTGCCGAGTGTGAACCTTGTGTAATTGCGCCTGTCACGATCACACATTTTGAAGTTTGTTGTTACTAAGTGTAAGTTTACGTCACTGAAACGAACCCTGAAGCAGATTTAAAGCTGCACTGTGTAACTTTTCGGTCGGGGCTCAGTCACCTGCTTGTTTCTACGGAGACGTCACTGCTCTGGAATGTTCCACAGTGTGACTTTAAATGGCTCGACCGGTTTTAGAATGAGAAATCCTGAGGAAAAACAAGTGTTGTGACTGAGCGGGGGTCGCCCCTCCACAGATCTGACCTGGAACTTGATCATGTTTGGTCTCCTTGAAGATGAGCGCCGCTTTTTAAACCGCAAAAACTATTAGAAAAATCCCGAGCTGCAGTGAATAAAGTGTCACGTCTGTAACGAACGCACGGCCAACAAAAAAAACAAAAAAACTGACACAAGCTCAACTCTCCACTTTTACAGAAATATTTTAGTTTCTTCAGTAGTATTTGTAGTACTAGGAGTTTAGTAGTAGTATTTGTAGTACTAGGAGTTTAGTAGTAGTATTTGTAGTACTAGGAGTTTAGTAGTAGTATTTGTAGTACTAGGAGTTTAGTAGTAGTATTTGTAGTACTACAAGGAGTTTAGTAGTAGTATTTGTAGTACTACAAGGAGTTTAGTAGTAGTATTTGTAGTACAAGGAGTTTAGTATTTTTGTTGTAGTATTTTTGTAGTAGTAATAAGGAATAAGTTTTATATAACATAATGTAAAAAGTGTAAAAGATGGAAACTGAGTGTTTTTTTTAAGGGACGCAGGAAAACAAGTGTCCGATAGAAACTTTAGTTTTGGGCCAAACACGTGCGCTTCCCCCGCGGCGCTTCTTCCCGGTTCTGTCCTGGGTTTGTTCCACGTAAACATCTCGTCTCTCTCCAGGGCTGGTCCACGCGGATCTCAAACTCTTTCTGGACACAAACCTTCCTCGTTCGGGGAAAAAGAAGCCGATGTTGGGAGTGTCCGACGCTAAGATCGGCGCCGCCCTGCAGGAGGAGTTTGGAATGTCCATCCAGACCGGAGGAGTGGTGGCGGAGATACTGAGAGGTGACACACACACACACACACACACACACACACACACACACACACACACTCTGACGTGTGTAAAAACACACACACGTCAGAGTCCGTTAACTCTTTCCCCCGTGAAGACGTGATTTGACGACCATTAGAAACGACTTGGTTTTTCACTTTTAAACAGAGACTGTGATTGGTCGGGGCCACTACAACCCACACTAGACTGACCAATAGGATTCAAGGATGTGTTTGCGTTGATTTTTTTTATTTATTTATTTATTTTTCCCACCCCGAAGGTAATCGAAGTTGTGACGATGGTAGCTTCCGGAAAAAACACGAGCAATGGAAAGATGGCGGCGCTGCGGCGCACAGTTTTAGAAATAATGAGGAGCGGATGTATTTTATGGACAAGTTTAGAGAAAGTGACTTTTATTAACTTCAAAGTGATGATGAAGTTGATTATAAAGTGGAAAACAGCGACGGACTTACAGAGAGTGAATCTTACGAAGATGAGAATACAGCTGATGCGTCTGTGTGGAGTCCTGCGATGTCCAAACAAACTATCTGGACTTTATACTCGATTATGAACCAAAACTGCCCTGAAATCTGGATGTTGCTCAGACGAGTCCTTTAAAATATTTCAGTCTTTTTTTCCAAGATGCGACGTGTAACAGAATCACTACAGAAAAAACACTTATGTGGAGCTCTGCACACGAGAAAATAACCAAGATGATAAATACTGAACACACACTGACGGGGAAGAGTTTTATTATAATATTATAATAAGATAAATGAGTTGAAGTTAAATGGAAAAAATGAATTAGATCCACACAGGTGAACAGCAGGTAAAAACAGGGGGGAGATGCTGCGCTCCAGGACTGAACCAGAGTCTGGGGCCGTGATGATGATCCTTTTAGTCCTGAATCTCCTGATGGTTCATACTGAAAATCTGAACAGCCCCAGAGTCTGTGTTGGGACAGATTAGAGCAAATACCGAACCACAGTCGAGCGCATCGTTTGCTCCCATGTCAGACATTTGAACTCTCTCCCCCTGGACGTCGACTAGAACAACCCACACATATATGACTAGTTCTACCCTCAGAGCATAAAAGCATAGAAGAAAACAGACTTGCACCAGTGATTAGAAATGATTTTTACAGACATATTTGTATCTCTGGAAACCTTATACACCTAGAAATGAGTTGAATCACATTTAAACATCCAGAAATGAAGAGTTCAGAGTCTAACAGCTCACTGAAAATGAGAGTTTACCTGGTCAGGTGCAACATCAAAAACAAAAAAACTACATTCAGCATCTGATATCTGCATGTTCTGAGTATTATATTCATAAAAAAAATATACTTTGTCAAAGTATTTAAACAGATTTCATATCAGATACAGTAAAGTGTTCACCTGTTTTTACCTGCTGTTCACCTGTGTGGATCTAATTCATTTTTTCCATTTAACTTATTCAACTCATTTATCTTATTATAATATAATAATAAAACTCTTCCCCGTCAGTGTGTGTTCAGTATTTATCATCTTGGTTATTTTCTCGTGTGCAGAGCTCCACATAAGTGTTTGTTTCTGTAGTGATTCTGTTACACGTCGCATCTTGGGGAAAAAAAGACTGAAATATTTTAAAGGACTCGTCTGAGCAACATCCAGATTTCAGGGCAGTTTTGGTTCATAATCGAGTATAAAGTCCAGATAGTTTGTTTGGACATCGCAGGACTCCACACAGACGCATCAGCTGTATTCTCATCTTCGTAAGATTCACTCTCTGTAAGTCCGTCGCTGTCGCTGTTTTCCACTTTATAATCGTCCGCTTATTTTTAAAAACTGAGCGCTGCAATCTTTCCATTGCTCATATTCACCTGTCCTCCCCGTGTGTCCTCAGGTGTCTCACCTGTCCTCCCCGTGTGTCCTCAGGTGTCTCACCTGTCCTCCCCGTGTGTCCTCAGGTGTCTCACCTGTCCTCCCCGTGTGTCCTCAGGTGTCTCAGTGTCTCACCTGTCCTCCCCGTGTGTCCTCAGGTGTCTCAGTGTCTCACCTGTCCTCCTCAGGTGTCTGTGTCTCACCTGTCCTCCCCGTGTGTCCTCAGGTGTCTCAGTGTCTCACCTGTCCTCCCCGTGTGTCCTCAGGTGTCTCAGTGTCTCACCTGTCCTCCCCGTGTGTCCTCAGGTGTCTCACCTGTCCTCCCCGTGTGTCCTCAGGTGTCTCACCTGTCCTCCCCGTGTGTCCTCAGGTGTCTCAGTGTCTCACCTGTCCTCCCCGTGTGTCCTCAGGTGTCTCACCTGTCCTCCCCGTGTGTCCTCAGGTGTCTCACCTGTCCTCCCCGTGTGTCCTCAGGTGTCTCAGTGTCTCACCTGTCCTCCCCGTGTGTCCTCAGGTGTCTCAGTGTCTCACCTGTCCTCCCCGTGTGTCCTCAGGTGTCTCAGTGTCTCACCTGTCCTCCCCGTGTGTCCTCAGGTGTCTCAGTGTCTCACCTGTCCTCCCCGTGTGTCCTCAGGTGTCTCACCTGTCCTCCCCGTGTGTCCTCAGGTGTCTCAGTGTCTCACCTGTCCTCCCCGTGTGTCCTCAGGTGTCTCGGTGTCTCACCTGTCCTCCCCGTGTGTCCTCAGGTGTCTCAGTGTCTCACCTGTCCTCCCCGTGTGTCCTCAGGTGTCTCAGTGTCTCACCTGTCCTCCCCGTGTGTCCTCAGGTGTGCGTCTGCACTTCCACGCCCTGGTGAAGGGTCTGACGGCGGTGGCGGCCTCTAAAGCTCAGCTGGGTTTGGGACACAGTTACTCGAGGGCGAAGGTCAAATTTAACGTGAACCGAGCGGACAACATGATCATCCAGTCCATCGCTCTGCTCGACCAGCTGGACAAGGACATCAACACCTTCTCCATGAGGGTCCGGTGAGTTCTGCTCCTCTTCTCCGTCCTCTTTCTTCTCCTCCTCCTCCTCCTCCTCCTCCTCCTCCTCTGCTCTTGACACCTTCTCGAAGCCTCGGCTCTGGTCTCGTCGTCGTCGTCCTGAAGCCTCGGCTCTGGTCTCGTCGTCGTCGTCGTCCTGAAGCCTCGGCTCTGGTCTCGTCGTCGTCGTCCTGAAGCCTCGGCTCTGGTCTCGTCGTCGTCGTCGTCCTGAAGCCTCGGCTCTGGTCTCGTCGTCGTCGTCCTGAAGCCTCGGCTCTGGTCTCGTCGTCGTCGTCCTGAAGCCTCGGCTCTGGTCTCGTCGTCGTCGTCCTGAAGCCTCGGCTCTGGTCTCGTCGTCTCGTCGTCCTGAAGCCTCGGCTCTGGTCTCGTCGTCGTCCTGAAGCCTCGGCTCTGGTCTCGTCGTCGTCGTCCTGAAGCCTCGGCTCTGGTCTCGTCGTCGTCGTCCTGAAGCCTCGGCTCTGGTCTCGTCGTCGTCCTGAAGCCTCGGCTCTGGTCTCGTCGTCCTGAAGCCTCGGCTCGTCTCGTCGTCGTCCTGAAGCCTCGGCTCTGGTCTCGTCGTCGTCGTCCTGAAGCCTCGGCTCTGGTCTCGTCGTCGTCCTGAAGTCGGCTCCTCGTCGTCTCCTGGTCTCGTCGTCGTCGTCCTGAAGCCTCGCTCTGGTCTCGTCGTCGTCTGAAGCCTCGGCTCTGGTCTCGTCGTCGTCCTGAAGCCTCGGCTCTGGTCGCTCGTCGTCGTCCTGAAGCCTCGCTCTGGTCGTCGTCGTCGTCCTGAAGCCTCGGCTCTGGTCGTCGTCGTCGTCCTGAAGCCTCGGCTCTGGTCTCGTCGTCGTCCTGAAGCCTCGGCTCTGGTCTCGTCGTCGTCCTGAGCCTCGGCTCTGGTCGTCGTCGTCCTGAAGCCTCGGCTCTGGTCTCGTCGTCGTCCTGAAGCCTCGGCTCTGGTCTCGTCGTCGTCCTGAAGCTCGGCTCTCGTCTCGTCGTCGTCCTGAAGCCTCGGCTCTGGTCTCGTCGTCGTCCTGAAGCCTCGGCTCTGGTCGTCGTCGTCCTGAAGCCTCTCGGTCTCGTCGTCGTCCTGAAGCCTCGGCTCTGGTCTCTCGTCGTCGTCCTGAAGCCTCGGCTCCGCTCGTCGTCGTCCTGAAGCCTCGGCTCTCGGTCTCGTCGTCGTCCTGAAGCCTCGGCTCTCGGTCTCGTCGTCGTCCTGAAGCTCGGCTCTGGTCTCGTCGTCGTCGTCCTGAAGCCTCGGCTCTGGTCTCGTCGTCGTCGTCGTCCTGAAGCCTCGGCCTCTGTCTCGTCTCGTCGTCGTCGTCGTCCTGAAGCCTCGGCTCTGGTCTCGTCGTCGTCGTCCTGAAGCCTCGGCTCTGGTCTCGTCGTCGTCCTGAAGCCTCGTCTCTGGTCTCGTCGTCCTGAAGCCTCGTCTCGGGTCTGGGGTCTCCTCCTAAAGCTTACCGCAGCCTGTGCGTGTGTGCGCTGGCTGTATAGAAACAGGAGGAACAGCGCCCCCTCTGGCTCAGTGCTCGTCGGTGCAGTCTGACGCAGCAGGACGATCCAGAGGGAACACGAGCTTCACACGGCCACAAAAACGCCCGAGACGCCACCGCGACACGCGACAACGCCACAGGGTTTACCCACGCAAACCTCAGCACGTGAAAAACTCTACTTAGAAATTCTTTTGCCGATACGATACACACCTCTGTACATAGACCACGATACGATGCGCTTTCAGTCCGATACGAAAGATTCGATACGATTCAGTGAAAGTCTAAATCCTGACGGTGAAACTAAAAGTCTTACAAAGTTTAGATGAAAAACACAACGGTGAAAATATCAACACGACTGGAGCTTTCTTACACAAAATAAACTGGTTAAATATATTCTTGGCGATATATCGATACAGCAGACCATGATATAGATTAAACGACATGATACACCGATATTTCAATATTTTTGCTCACCCCAAATATCTAAGGAACAGACTCGATACAGATTCTGATTTCACTGAAAATAAAAACCCTCTTCCTCCCTCGTGTCTCCTCCTCCCTCGTGTCTCCTCTCTCCTCCCTCGTGTCTCCTCTCTCCTCCCTCGTGTCTCTCTCTCCTCCCTCGTGTCTCCTCTCTCCTCCCTCGTGTCTCCTCCCTCGTGTCTCCTCCCTCGTGTCTCCTCTCTCCTCTCGTGTCTCTCCTCTCTCCTCCTCCTCCCTCCTCCCTCTCGTGTCTCCTCTCTCCTCTCGTGTCTCTCTCTCTCCTCTCGTGTCTCTCCTCCCCTCGTGTCTCTCCCTCTCTCCTCCCTCGTGTCTCCTCTCTCCTCCCCTCGTGTCTCTCTCTCCTCTCTCCTCCTCCCCTCGTGTCTCCTCTCTCTCTCTCCTCTCACTGGATTCTGTCTCTCCTCCTTGTTTTTTTCTTTCCTGTAGTGAACGGTTCGGTCCCATTTTCCTGAGTTGACAAAGATCATCCTCTGTCCCTCCCCCTCCTTCCCATGTTCTGTCCCTTTTTATTCCTCCCCTTTTACTTCTCTTTACTGTATTCCCTCTCTCTCCCTCTTTCCTTCTAACAGTATTTTCTCTCTCTTTTTGTAGAGTGACACAGACACCTCTTCCCAGAACTGTTAGATTGTTCTCCCTCTTTCTTTTCTGTCTCTCCTTCTCTCTAACAGTATTCCCTCTTTCCCGCAGAGAGTGGTACGGATATCACTTCCCGGAGTTGATAAAGATCGTTCCTGATAATTCCACGTACTGTCGTCTGGCTCAGCTGATCGGGAACAGGAAGGAGCTGAGTGAGGAGAGTCTGGAGGCTCTGGAGGAGGTGGTGATGGACGGAGCCAAAGCTCAGGCCGTTCTGGAGGCGTCCAGACAGTCCATGGGTTTGTCTTACACTATTTATCTACACACGCGTCACTCCTGTTCATGCTTCTCTAACATGTGTTTTGTTTTGTTTTTTTGGACTACAAGAGGCACTCTTTTCATGGTTTTTCAAGCTCCAGAAAGTTTGGAGGGAGGGACTGGAGAATCACAAGTTCGTCTCACTCCAAACTTTCTTTCTGCTGCTCCATTCCAGTTTTCAGCTGCAGATTTCACGACTTGGAGCAGGACAGAGAATCTGCTGACAAGACTCGAGCCTCTCCACGCTTCACGCTCAACATTTTAATATAGAAGTCACAGGCCGGAGAATAAACCACAGGAAACACACAAACCATGAAAAGAAAGTGCCTCTTATAATCCAAAAAATACGATATATTGTAAGAGTCGCGTTCTAGTGTTAATGGTTTGTTTTGTGGAATAATCTTCAAGTCTTAAAGCCCAAATCAGCAGCTTAAGTTTGAACTATTTCCCCCATGAAGACGACATTTGACGAGCCTCATGTTTCCTTCATGACGTGTTTTGACTCCTCGGCTGTTTCACTAAAGACGTGATTTGACAAACATTAGAAACGACTGTTTTTCACATATAAACAGACTGTGATTGGTCGGGGCCACTACAACCCACACTAGACTGACCAGTAGGATTCAAGGATGTGTTTTCCTCCAGTTTTTTCCTAAGTTAATCGAAGTTGTGACGATTGTAGCTTCTGGAAAACACAACACGAAACACGAGCGATGGAAAGATGGCGGCGCTGCGGCTCAGTTTTAGAAATAATGAGCGGACGTATTTTCTGGATAAGTTTAGAGAAAGTGACTTTTATAGATTTCAAAGTGATGAAGTTGATTATAAAGTGGAAAACAGCGACGGACTTTCAGAGAGTGAAACTAATGGAGATGAGAATTAGGGGTGTGCAAGAATATCGGAATATCGATGTATCGTTTAATGTGATGATACAGTATTGATATCGTGGGCTGCTGTATCGATATTTCACCAAGAGTGTTTTTAGGTGTGTTTTTCTAAATTATTTTGTTACAGAGCTACAGTTTTGTGGCTTGTGGAGTAAAAGGAAACTCATTTATGCGACACATTTGACATTTTCACTGTTTTGAGGATTAAAATGTTTGTGTTTCATATGAACTTTTCACAAGAAGAAGTGATTTAACAAAGACTTTTAGTATCACAGCCACGATTTAGACTTTATTTTTTTATTGAACCGTATCAAATCGATTTGAAATATATCATATCAAATCGAAAGTGCACTGTATTGAGAGATGTATCGTATCGAGGTATGTATCGTATCGGCAGCTCCTTAATGATACCAGCCCTAATGAGAATACAGCTGATGCGTCTGTGTGGAGTCCTGCGATGTCCAAACAAACTATCTGGACTTTATACTCGATTATGAACCAAAACTGCCCTGAAATCTGGATGTTGCTCAGACGAGTCCTTTAAAATATTTCAGTCTTTTTTCCCCCAAGATGCGACGTTTAACAGAATCACTACAGAAAAAACACTTATGTGGAGCTCTGCACACGAGAAAATAACCAAGATGATAAATACTGAACACACACTGACGGGGAAGAGTTTATTATTATATTATAATAAGTTCAATGGAAAAAATGAATTAGATCCACACAGGTGAACAACAGGTACAAACAGATGAACACTTGGCTCTACTGTATCTGCTGATATGAAATCTGTTTAAATACTTTGACAAATATATTTTTAATTTGTTTGATGAATATAATACTCAGAACATGTATATATCAGATGCTTTTGTTTTTGATGTTGCACCTGAGCAGGTAAACTCTCATTTTCAGTGAGCTGTTATAAACCTGTAAATGAGTTGAATCACATTTAAACATCTGTAAATGAAGAGTTGAGTCTGAGGTTTCCAGAGATACAAATATGTCTGTTACAATGAAGTGCCTGAGTGTAAAAATCATTTCTAATCACTGGAAGTCTGTTTTTTTTTAATGTTTTTATGCTCTGAGGGTAGAACTAGTCATATATGTGTGGGTTGTTCCTAGTCGACGTCCAGGGGGGAGAGAGTTAATCCACGAGTTGGTGAGAGACTCGGTGTGAGGCGCTGCGTCCCGTTTGCGCTTGAACCTCAGCTTCCTCTTTGGACTCGTTGGTTTGTTGTGGTGAAACGCCCCTTTCTTGCCCATCCGGACTGTGGTGTCCCGGGTGTCGAACACAGGGGGGCACAGCAGCAGCTCTCATAAACCCGAGGGGAAGGTTCCACTCCTCCGCTCGGATCCTGTCGGGAGAAACAAACACAACCCACAAAGAAAAAGAAAGAAAAAGAGGGTTTAAACTGGAGAAACTGCAGAAAAATAAATCAAGCTTTTTTTTTTTTTGTCTCTTTTCTCCTTTCTCTTTCACTCTCTCCTCTTTCCTTTCTTTCTCTCCTTTCTCATCTTTTCTTTTTTCTCCCTCTTTCTGTTCTCTCTTCACTTTCTCGTCCATCTTTTCTTTCTCTCCTTTCTTTTCTCACTCTTCTTTCTTTCTCCGTCTTTCTCTCCCATCTCTTCACTTTTTCTCTCCTTTGTCTTCTCCCTGTCCTCTCCTCCTCCCTCTTTTCTCATATTCTCTCCTCCTTCCTTCTCTTCCCTCTTTTCTTCTCTTCTCTTTTCTCCTCTTTTTCTCCTCCTTTCTTCTTTCTCTTTTTCTTCTTTTCTCTTCTCCTCTTTCTTCTCTTTCTCCTTCTTTCCCCTCTCCTCCTCTCCCTCTCCTCTCCTCTCCTTCTCCCTTTTGTTATATTCTCTCTCCTCCTTTCTCCTGCCCTCTTCTTTTCTCTCCCTCCTCTTCTCTCCCTCCTCTCCCTCTGTCTCTCTCTCTCTCTCTCTGTCTTTCTGTCAGGCATGGACATCTCTCCCATCGACCTGATAAACATCGAGCGTTTCTCCAGTCGAGTCGTGTCTCTGGCCTCGTACCGACTCGAGCTGCAGGAGTACCTCAGGTCCAAAATGGGGCAGGTGGCTCCCAACCTGGCGGCGCTCATCGGGGACGTGGTGAGTGTGTGTGTGTGTGTGTGTGTGTGAGTGTGCGAGGGGGCGGGGCTGAGTGTGCGAGGGGGCGGGGCTTAGTGTTATCTGACTTGTTTATCTTGGAGGTTGTTGTTGGACGATGATGTTAAACCAAATCTGTCAATCCCCTGAAACCAGGTGATGAGAAACAATCTGGTGCTGATGGTCCAACTGTCCTCCCCCCTGTCCCCCCTGTCTCCCCTGTCTTCCCCTGTTCTCTTCCTGTCCTCCCTGTCCCTTCCTCCGTCCCTCCCCCTCCGCCTTCCTCTCCCTTTCACCTGTCCGTCTCACCTGTCCCCCCTCGTCATCGTCGGTCGTCTCGTCTCACCTGTCCCGTCTCACCTGTCCCCCTCGTCGGCGGCGTCTCACCTGTCCCCCCTCGTCGGCGGCGTCTCACCTGTCCCCCCTCGTCGGCGGCGTCTCACCTGTCCCGTCTCACCTGTCCCCCCTCGTCGGCGGCGTCTCACCTGTCCCCCTCGTCGGCGGCGTCTCACCTGTCTCGGCCGTCTCACCTGTCCCCCCTCGTCGGCGGCGTCTCACCTGTCCCCCCTCGTCGGCGGCGTCTCACCTGTCCCCCTCGTCGGCGGCGTCGTCTCACCTGTCCCCCTCGTCGCGGCGTCTCACCCTCGTCGGCCGTCTCACCTGTCCCCCCTCGTCGGCGGCGTCTCACCTGTCCCTCTCACCTGTCCCCCTCGTCGGCGGCGTCTCACCTGTCCTCTCACCTGTCCCCCTCGTCGGCGGCGTCTCACCTGTCCCGTCTCACCTGTCCCCCCTCGTCGGCGGCGTCTCACCTGTCCCCCCCTCGTCGGCGGCGTCGTCTCACCTCTCGTGTCTCACCTGTCCCCCCTCGTCGGCGGCGTCTCACCTGTCCCTCACCTGTCCCCCCTCGTCGGCGGCGTCTCACCTGTCCCTCTGTGTCCCCCGCAGGTCGGAGCTCGTCTCATCTCTCACGCCGGGAGTCTCACAAATTTGGCCAAATACCCGGCGTCCACGGTGCAGATCCTGGGCGCGGAGAAAGCCCTGTTCAGGTACATGGCCCCCTCCCCTGGCCGTGAGGCGCGGGGAGGGAGGGGGCGTGGCTTCGGTGATGGCAGGGGGCGGGGCTGACGCGATGGGGGCAGAGCTACGTGCTCTTTGTATAAAAGTCCCCGTGTGCGTGTGTGTTTGCCCCGGAGTCTGAGAGGCCACGGTTTACGAGGGCGACGGAGGTAAACGAGGGGGGGGGGGCGGGTCTAAACGAGGGGGCGGGGTCTGTTCCACCTTGTGATGTCATAAGTGCTCCACACACACCTTCACTAGAATCATCTGGATCTTTTCAGTCGTGGAGTCGCCGATCTCGACCACCACTCCATGACATCACAAGGTGGAACAGAACGTTGGGAGCTGTAGACAGACGGTTTAGGACCCAGGTTAGTCTTGGTTTTTAGACCTGGGCTTAGTCTTGTTGTTAGACCTGTTTTTAGACCCAGTTTGGTCCTGGTGCAGTCGTGGTTCAGTTCTGGTTTAGTCTTGATTTTGGACTCGAGTTAGTCTTGGTTTTTACTCTGGGCGTAGTTTTGGTTTTTGGGACCCGGGTTTGGTTTTTAGACCTGGCCTTAGTCTTGGTTTTTAGACCCAGTTTGGTCCTGGTGCAGTCGTGGTTCAGTTCTGGTTTTGTCTTGGTTTAGACCTGGTTTCATAACTGTTTTTTTAGTCTGAGTTCTTGTTTCAACCAGAAAACAAACGGAGTTGTTTTTAAATATTTTCAGTGTTTCTGTGGTGTTTTTGTCTCGTGGAGTTAAACCTGTGAGCGTTTCTCTGCAGGGCCCTGAAGACCAGAGGAAACACGCCCAAATATGGTCTGATCTTCCACTCCACGTTCATCGGACGCGCCGCCGCCAAAAACAAAGGTCGAATCTCCCGTTACCTCGCCAACAAGTGCACCATCGCCTCCAGGATCGACTGCTTCTCCGGTACGAGACGCGGCCTGGCCCAAAGCTGCACTGCGGAACTTTTCGGCTGGGGCTCCGTCACCTGCTTGTTTCTACGGAGACGTCACTGTGTTCTGCCTGGAATGTTCCACAGTGTGACTTTAAACCGCCCGACTTTACGTTCATTCAATTACAGGTGGTTTTAGAACCCAGAACAACCGGGGAACCAGAACCGGGGTCCCCAGAACAACCGGGACGGAACCGGGTCCCCAGAACAACCGGGACTGAACCGGGTCCCCAGAACTTAAAAATCCCTAGTAAACCAGGCATGGTGTGAGCGCGGTCGCCTCTCCACAGATCTGACCTGGAACTGGGTCCGGTCTGGTTTGGTTTCCATGGAGATAGAAAGTTGTAGTTTAATGCCACACTGCGGAACATTCCAGACAAAGCGGCAACAACGGGGAACAATCTCCACGGAGACGAGCGTTTGACGGAACCTCTCCCCCAGAAAAGTTACACAGTGCAGCTTTAAACCTGCATGAACGGGGACCAGTGTTACACCGGGGCTGCACCTGCCGACGGGGGGCGCTGCACCTGCCGACGGGGGAAGAGAAACGACCTGAGGCTGTGGAAAAGTCTGGATTAGTCTGTAGGAACTCGCTTTGGATTCATTTATTTATTTACCGGCCAGAAAATGCAGAATGAAGAAAAAATAAGTGGCACTTTTTTTGTGGGAAATGTGTTTTATAAATTCAGGGAGCAGGAGCCGACATTTTCTGTTTTCAGCGAAGTTCTAGTAAAAACAGAAGAGAGAAGAACAGATACGAATAGTTCTTCAGATCACCACAGCATCAACAACAGAATAAGTTTACCAAACTCTCCAGATCACTAAATCCCTCAGACTCAGCATCAGTTCCAGGTGGAATTATTGGGGTCTTTCTGAATCCCGTCAGGATGGTTTCGGTGTCACTGAAGTCCAGGCTTTGTCCGTCCAATGTAATCACAGCTTCCAGAATGAAGATCTCACCGACTCAAATTGTTTTTACAGTTCAGAGACGAATGAATTGGCGGCACTTTTTTTTACGAGAGCAGCGTTCGATAATCACGTTAAGTATAATTAGTGCGTTTTATTCACTTTTCTTACCTCGTTGATGTAAAATCTTTGGGGAAAAATGGGACGCGATCTAACTAGAAACTGAAACGGTCTGTCTGCACAAACGACAATCTTAAATGAAATAACTGAAGAAGTGTTAAATTATTCTGCCCTACAAAAACAAAAGACGGAGGAAAGCGACTTCAAAGTTTGTGTTTTGTCCAGACAAAAGTAGAATAGGCAGGACTCCGAGAATGTGACGACACAAATATTGAGCCTTTTTGACTTTTATTGGTGACTTCAGGAAAGTTTCACGGTGCGTCACAAGTTTCTCTCTCACTCCAAACTTTTTTTCTGCTGCTCGATTTCAGTTTTCAGCTGCAGATTTCACGACTTAGTTTTGTAATCTGCAGAATCTGATTTTGATTTTCGGAGGCGTTTGTGTTCAATCTTCTCAGTCTTTGTCTTTATAAGTTTAAACTAGGGCCGGGCACTTTAACGCGTTAATTTTGCGTTAACTAATTAAGTCATTAATGTCGACAATTATTTTGATGCTGTTAACGCAGTTTTTAGAATTTTATTGTAAACATCTGTTTCTTTATTTTGAAAAAGTCCACCGCAAGCATTTCTTTAAAGTTTTTCATCTTTACACTTTTTTCTGACCACGTGAGATGCAACATGTCCGAGCCTCCGCGGGTTCGGCCGTGCGCTCTGAGCTGAGATTGTTTAGTTCAGCGCTGCAGGGGGAGTCACTGATTTACCCGGATACAACTGGAAGAAAAACTGATTGGTCCATTTCCATTATATTAACCCTTTGTTTCCCAAGAAATATCAGTCCAAGTTTAAAACAATGATCTAGAAATTATTACTAGTGTCGTGTTTATTACTCACTGCGTAAAAAATATTTAAAAAATATATTCGTAGTACAAAAGTCCATTCAATATTTTTTCTTGAGCCTTCAGTGAAAACCTTGAAGGATCTGAGGTTCCCCGGTGAAAGAAATGTTCTGTTTCACAACAAATGTTTGACTCTTTCATTTACATTTCCAATAAAAGTGCGTTATACTCTACTTTTTAATTCATTAATTGGTTTTGCGTATAACACGTGATTAATCGTGATTAATTTTAATTTTTGCCCAGCCCTAGTTTAAAGTTTAAATGTTAAGTAGTTAAGTGGTGCAGAAGTAACGGTGCGATCGACTGACACGATACAGACAGGACAGAGGCTCTTTCTGCAGGAGACATGCGCAGTAGAGCCGAGGAACAGCAGCAGCAGATACTCCACACTTCACCAAAAACATTTAATACAGAAGTCACAGCGGAGAATAAGTCACAGGAAACACACAAACTATGAAAAAAAAAAAGTGCCACTTAGGCTGCGTTCAGTCTGCACCTGAAGTGACCCAAATCCTTTTTTTTTTTTTGGCGTCTATGTTCCTCTATCTGATCTTTTAATGACGTCTGAACCACACAGATCCGATTGTGACCCAGGACACTTGGATCTGTGCTCCTGAAACTGATCCATATCTGATCTTTAACATGTGACTTGAGTGTGAACAGTCAGGTCACATTCATCCACCTACACGTCATCAACAAGACACAAACGTCACTATTCTGCACTGAAGAAGTAGAGAAAACTGTTCATGATCCATGTGACTGAAGTGAAGCACATCTCCACTCACCACAAAACACCACCACCAAAAACCTGGTCCTTCTCCTTCTCAATCTCCTCCTTAAAACAAGTCAGTTGTTCATGTTGTGGCTCCGGTACGAGAGGAACTTTAAAATCTCCAGGTGCTCGATGCTGCGTCCATGTTTGGTTCAACTTGTGTAAACACAGAGACGCTCGCTGCGGTTGACGTCGTCGTGTCTCCAGTGTCACATGTGGGACACTTTTGGACCGTTTAATGTTCACACTGGAGTCACATACAAGTCACATTTAACTGGAAATGTGAACGAGCTCGAAAAAACATCGGATTTCACAAAAAAAATCGGAATTGAGCGTTAAGCCCTGCAGTCTGAACGTAGACTTACAGTCCCAAAAATACGGTAATAACAGACTTTTCCACAGCCTCAGGTCGTTTCTCTTCACTCGTTTTGTTTAAAGTCGCTGTCGTCGGCTGAACAGAAATGACCAAAATATAATTTACACAAAAATTAATCGTTTTGGAAATAGACTTTTGGTTTTTCACATTCTGAGGGTTTGGACGACGTTCATTGGCCCGAAATAAAACTGAATATCTGAAGAACCAGAATGGCACAAATGAAACTTTATGCGTCGTTTGTGCGGCAAAAACTTGACTGACTGGGTTTTTGTGTCGTTTTTATTTCATTTTGTTCATTTTGTATCAGTTTCCTGGCGGCTGCCGATCCCAATTTGACCTGTAAAAGAATCGATAATATCTCCAAAACTAAAACGATGGATGTAGTTTTGCAAAGTTACGCAGTGCAGCCCTGTGTGTGTGTTTTTGTGTGTAAATCTGCTGTGATGTTTTATTTTTCGTCAACAGGATGCAGCTCTTCGGGGCTGATGTTGAGGCTCCTTTCTGAGCAGATCGGCTCTAAACGGGCGCCGTGTTTGTTTCGGAGGTTTGAGTTTGATCGAAGCCGTCGTGTTTTTTTGTTTTTTCTCCAGAGGTGCCGACGAGCGTGTTTGGAGATAAACTCCGCGAGCAGGTGGAGGAGAGACTGTCCTTCTACGAGACCGGAGACATGCCCCGGAAGAACGTGGATGTGATGAAGGAGGCTGTGCAGGAGGTGAGGACCAGCTTTTTGGTTTTTTTTTTACCGTATTTCCCGCACTATAGTTCACTCTGGATTATAAGGCCAACTGTCAGTGAATGGTTTATTTTCAAACTTTGTTCACATATAAACGATAACCTCAGACTATAAGCAGCATTAAACAAAACACAACAGTTGGATACGTCAGTCAAACTTTAACACGTTTACAATAACTCAATTTTGTTCAATTGTAACGTGTAAAAAAAGCTGGTCCACATCCCTCGTCCTGATCCAAGTCTGTGTTACTGTTCCCTGGAGTTCAGTTCAGTCCGTGTGTCGTTCGTTTGTTTTTCAATATAAAACCAAAAATCAGAAAAGGAGAAAACAACGTTTTTCTTCGTTATTTGTCTCCAAAACCAAAATGAAAAAGCGGAAAATGATCACAGATGGATTTTGTGTTTAAATGAAGAATGGAAAAAACGGATAACGACAGTTTCCCGTTTACGTGACTTCAGGGACTGAGATGTCGGACTTTTGCACCGAATACAGACTGAGACCGGGACTGGGACCGAGACCGGGACTGAGACCCTGGACTTTTGTGCTGCCCAGATCCGGGGCCCAGATCCGGGGCCCAGATCCGGGGCCCAGATCCGGGGCCCTCAGCAGCCGCCTCTGTCTTTAACGTAAAGAATCCTCCACGTGTGGAGATACAAACGCTGCAGATTGTGTTGGAGGTTTTGAGACTTTGAGTGAACCGGTGTCTGTGCGAGTGCCGTGAGTGATGAGCTCCTCTTCCTGACTCTCTGTGGAGGCACAAACTGATTTAATGAGCCTGACACGGCCGCGGTTCCACACCTGAGAAACTGAAGTTAAACGGTTTAAATGTTTAAATGTTGAACCTGACCCTGTTCTAACGTGGTGTGGTGTGGGCTCCCCCTGCAGGCCGGAGAGGTGGCTGCGGAAATCAAACGCAAACTGGAGAAAAAGGAAAAGAAGCGAAAGAAGAAAGAAAAGAAACTCCAGGAACTTCAAGAGAACGGCACAAACGGAGAAGCAGAGGTGAGAAAGACGAGGGGAGGAGGATGAACATGAGCTGATCTTAAACGGACCTTTTTCAAAACGGTCGGGAGTGTGTCCTGCTGTAGGTTTGTGCGACGTCCCGTCAATGTTTTTCTGTGTAAATGTTTGTTCAGCCGAGCTCCACGCTCAGTTCGACACAGAAAAACATTAAGTGGAAGTTGTGCGAACCCACAGCGGGACACTTCAGCCGGTGTGGAAAAGGTTTAGTTCGTTTAGTAAATCTCGTCCTTCTCAAAATAAACGAGTTACACAGAGGGAGGAGACGAGAGGCATGTGGGAAGTTCATGGAGCGTTTGGAAGTGTTTTTAGTGTGTTTTTAGTATGTTTGGGAGTGTGTTTTGGGGCATGTTTGGGCTTTTTTGTGTTTTGTTTGGAGATGTTTGGGGCATGTGTTTGGAGCGTGTGTTTAGTGTGTTTTTAGTATGTTTGGGAGTGTTTTTTAGCGTGTTTGGAGTGTTTAGTGTGTTTAGTGTGTTTTAGTGTTTGGAGTGTTTTAGTGTTTGGAGCGTGTTTTTAGTGTGTTTGGAGCGTGTTTAGTATGTTTGGCGTGTTTTTAGTATGTTTGGAGCGTGTTTTTAGTATGTTTGGAGCGTGTTTTTAGTATGTTTGGGAGCGTGTGTGTTTAGTGTTTTTGGAGTGTGTTTTTAGTGTGTTTGGAGTGTTTTTAGTGTGTTTGGAGTGTTTTTGGTGTGGTTTTTAGTGTGGTTTTTAGTGTGTTTTTAGTGTGTTTGGGAGTGTGTTTTTAGTGTGTTTGGGAGCGTGTTTTTAGTGTTTGGAGCGTGTGTTTTAGTGTGTTTTTAGTATGTTTGGAGCGTGTTTTTAGTGTGTTTGGAGCGTGTGTTTAGTGTGTTTAGTGTGTTTTTAGTGTGTTTTGGAGCGTGTTTTTAGTGTGTTTTAGTGTTTTGTTTTTGGAGCGTGTTTTATGTTTGGAGTGTGTTTTTAGTGTTTGGAGTGTTTTTGTTGTTTAGCGTGTATGTTTGGAGCGTGTTTTTAGTTTTTAGTATGTTTGGAGCGTGTTTTTGTAGCATGTTGAGATTCTATAGACGGTCCTCCTCGTGGTCCAGTCTGTGTGAAACATGCAAAAGCAAAGAGCCCCTGAACCATTGTCCGGTCCCGTCCGTGGACTCGGTCACTGAAGAGGGTCTCACACTGACGCCTGTCGAATCATCAAACGTGCACTTTTGTCTCTTTCGTGTTCTAACGCTCGTCTGTACGTGGCCCCGCCCACAAGAAACGTGACACAAAACTGTACACGGCGACGGACAGGAGTTTCATTAGAGCAGCGTTTATTTTCTGACTCGTTTTTGCTAAAAAACAAGCGTCTTATCGTTGTGATCTGGGTGTGACGCCTCCGTTTATTTGGCTTCTGTCTGCTTGGACACGGTGAACACTGCGGCCTTTCCTCGTTTCCCACCGTAGTCACAGGGAAGCCGAGAGCTATGTACGCTTCATCGTATTTCCATCATATTTACCTCTTAGGCTTCGTCGTATCCTTGTCGAACTCGTCGTCCTCCTACGCGTCGTCGTGTTTGTCTCCTACGCGTCGTCGTGTTTGTCTCCTACGCGTCGTCGTATTTGCCTCCTACTACGTCGTCGCCTCCTATACTTGCTCCTACGCGTCGTCGTATTTGCCTCCTACGCGTCGTCGTCGTACTTCGCTCCTACGCGTCGTCGTCGTACTCGTCGCTTCCTACGCGTCGTCGTCGTCGTACTTCGCTCCTACGCGTCGTCGTCGTCGTACTTCGCTCCTACGCGTCGTCGTACTTCGCTCCTACGTCGTCGTCGTCGTACTTCGTCCTACGCGCGTCGTCGTACTTCGCTCCTACGCGCGTCGTCGTACTTCGCTCCTACGCGCGTCGTCGTACTTCGCTCCTACGCGTCGTCGTCGTACTTTGCTCCTACGCGTCGTCGTATTTCGTCGCTCGTCCCTCCTACGCGTCGTCGTCGTACTTCCCTCCTACGCGTCGTCGTACTTCCCTCCTACGCGTCGTCGTCGCGTCGTCGTACGCGTCGTCGTACTTCCTCCTACGCGTCGTCGTACTTCGCTCCTACGCGTCGTCGTACTTCGCTCCTACGCGTCGTCGTACTTCGCTCCTACGCGTCGTCGTATCCTTCGTCGTACTTCGCTCCTACGCGTCGTCGTACTTCGCTCCTACGCGTCGTCGTACTTCGCTCCTACGCGTCGTCGTACTTCGCTCCTACGCGTCGTCGTCGTCGTCTACTTCGCTCCTACGCGCTCCTCGTCGTCGTACTTCGCTCCTACGCGTCGTCGTCGTACTTCGCTCCTACGCGTCGTCGTACTTCGCTCCTTTTTCCTCCTACATATTTCCGCTTTCGTCTTGTGCTTTGTCTTATTGTCGTATCCTAAACCTAAATGTGCTGTTAGAGTGAAAACTTCAGAGAATTCAAATATTCACTTTTTTTTTTCCTCTCAGCATGAGAATGGAGAGACTGAGCCTGAGGTGAAGAAGAAAAAGAAGAAAAAGCCTAAACCTGATGCCCCGCAGGAGGAGGAGGAGGAAGCGGCGGCGGCGGCGGCGGAGGAGGAGGAGGAGAACGGAGCAGCCCAAGAAACTCCAGCCAAAAAGAAAAAGAAACGCAAGTCTGAGGCGCAGGAGGGCGGCGGCGGCGAGCAGGAGCCCGAGGAGCCGAGCGCCGAGACGCCGGCCAAGAAGAAGAAGAAGAAAAAGGAGGCGGAGTGAACGGGGGGCGGGGCCAGGAGAGGAAGGAGGCGGAGTAAAGACTCATTTTTATTTAGTTATTTTCTTAAACTCTGAAATGTGTTTTAGTTTAAACTCTGCTCGATGATGTGCCTTTATAAATGTTCCTGTAAATACGACATTAAAACAAAATGACACAAAGTCTGGTTTTTGTCAAGAGGAAGAGTCTCGGCCGCCGCCGCAGGAGGCGCGGTTTTAAAACTGCTCCGCTGAAAACACGGGCCAATCTCATTTCTTTTCCTCCCTTATCCTCTTCCTCCCTTTTCTCCTCGCTCTTTTCTCCTCGCTCCCTTCTCACTTCCTTGTCTCCTCGCTCCCTCTTGCTGCGTCCTTCCCGTTTTTTCAGCTGTTAATCAAATGCTCCAGATGAAAAAGCGTTTTTCCTCTAAAGCTCTGAGGGGACCTGTGGGGACCTGTGGGGCCTGTGGACTGTTACAGCCTGAGAGGGGAGTCCTTCTGAGCTGACGTTGAAACCTGGTGGGCTGTGTGGGTACCGGCTGTCGCACAAACCGTCTTGAAAAAAGCAAACGTAGAAGATCCTAACAAACCGTGGACTCCAACAAGTTCAACAACACATCCAGACTCTTGGAGGTTTTCATCTTTTCTGCTGTGAATGGCCCAGGAGTTTCCACCAAGTCATTGTGGATGTCGCCCAAGTGAATATTTGTCCAGGGAGTTGGAGATTCTGACCAGAAGTTTGGTTTGGTCCAGACTCTGTCGG